TAAACCCCAAACCCTAAACCGATGTTAGACCAGCTCTTTGGGCTTGAGGGTTGGAGTTCTGGCATTCGGGGCGTACTTTCCGTGGGCCTTCAAAGGGCTCAAAACCCAGAGGGTCCGAGTACCCAAATAGTAAGGTTTTAGGTCCCAAAAACCATTCAGAGTATGGATTTTGGGGTCCTAAAACCTTACTATTTGGGTACTCGGACCCTCTGGGAATCAGCAAATAAGCAACAATTAGGATAGGGATATCCCATATAAACCCCCTTGTAATGAAGCCCAATAAGGTAGGGATATCCCTATAAAATGCTTATGCTTATGTCCTTTTTGGGTTCCTAATTCAAAAAGGCTCATGACAAAAGCTTGGGAGCGGGCCTTTGGGGGCTTTAGGGGAAGCAGACTCTGCAATTTAGGGTTTAGGGCTTATAGGGTTTAGGGTTTAGGGTTTAGGGTTCAGGGTTCAGGGTTTAGGGTTTAGGGTTTAGGGTTTAGGGTCTTAGGTTTAGGGTTCAGCAGCTCCGGCTCGAGCAGTTTTATAGTAAAGTTACACTCATGAGACATAACACCCACCCACCTTTAGCATCCCGCAACATGAGAAAAATGCAAAGTTACATCAACGAACGTTATTCATTGTTGGACTTCATTCACCCTACATGACTTCATATTGCCGTCTGGGCTGTCTTATATCATACATATCGCACAAAAAATCTCGGGTAAAACAAGAAGCCAGCAAACACTGCAAACAAAAAAGCCACACTTTGTTAACCATAGTTGTCGCTCAGAGACAACAAGCCAAATAATGCAAACAAAAAAACATTTTGTTAACCATATTTGTCGCTGTCAACCGGGGTCCAACATCGGGGTCGATTGGCGAAATATTTGGCTACAACATAAAGGTCGAATGACCGATTTTGGCTACAACATTGGGGTCCCGATTGACGGATTTTGGCTACAACATTGGGGCCGATTGACGTAATTTGGCGACAACATTGGGGTCGATTGGCGAAGTGTGGCTACAACATTGAGGGGTCGATTGACCGATTTTAGTTACAACATTGGGGTCGATTGACAAAATTTGGCTACAACACTAAGGTCGAGTGACGAAAATCTGGAACAAACTTTACATATACATCCCAGAGGGTCCATATACACTACCATTATGGAATTAGGCCCCAAAAGACCATCCCTATTATGGTTTTGGGGACCTAATTCCATAATAGTAGTATATATGGACCCTCTGGGTTAGTAGCCATAAACACAGAAATTGAACGCCGTCCTCTCTGTGACATCTAGGCCGTGCT